CCTTGCTGGACACCATTAAGCATTCCATAAATGTTTTTGTTGAATGATTCACCATTCTCATTCTTCTACACCACAGTCTCAGTCATATTTTGTTTTATGTCTTTACCTCCATTTCATTCGAATAATAATATACAGATTTTTCATAAAACTCAAGTTCTTCATAAAATGACCCCAAATCACTTCTTTCCAACTTCATGTTCTACTGTAATCAAAATCTTTTACATAGTGAGTCCATCTTCCCCTAGAGCAGATAATGCTCATCCTCTCTGAACTTTGACAATATTCTCTTCATCCAGAACGTCCCCTCTGCATGATCTCCCTCATCTGTTTAATACTCTGTGACAAGAACAGTCATCTATGCCTGTTTTGTTCACCAGTGTACTCCCACTGTTAGTAATATTAGGCCCCTAATCAGCGTTCGTTGGAAGAACATGTGAGGAATGTTGTTGATTCTTTGATCTTCTAAGCGAAACTGATACACTTTACCCCTGACAGCCACCCTGTTATACCTCTATGTCAAAAATATATTTTGGCATTAAGCTATACTTACTTCTGTATATTTCAGGGAAGACATGAGTGCCCTCCACGCAAACACTGCACAGACAGACAGACACACACACACACACACCCACACACACACACGTATCCGTGGTTCCTAGTCCACTGTGTACTAGGCATCCAATACATTTGCTGTTTGAAATTTCAAGTCTCCTACTTCAAAATGTTTTGCAACAATCTAGAGCAGATTATTTTATTTTTTCTAGGTTATAAGTGGTTGATAAAATTAAGCTACACCTAGACTGCTTATAGTTCTTAGGATACAAGTTTTAAACTTGTATACTAAGACAAATTGGATTTTTAAGAGAAAGAAAATAAAAGAATGGCTAAATTAATCTTCACAGCTTTGAAGTTCAGGGTTCTGGATTTATGAATAAAGTTAGTCTTTCTTACCACATCCATTTTTCTCCCAGCACTGTTCTGCTTTGTCCTCCCTGTATGTTCATACAATCTTCACTTGGAAAGGAGTCCTAGCCACGTCCTACGTTCTATCAGCTGAAGACCCAGTCATGTGTCCCATCTTTGGTCCACCTTTTTCTTGTTACTTTCATCACTTTTTTTTGGTAAAAGTTCATTGTGAGCACAATTACAATGTTTTCTTTAGAACTGATGAAACTTCCTTCTTTTTTATTAGGTAGACAAGTTCTCATGATTCCAGAATGAATAGATACAGTTTCAAAGTCAGATATTTAGGCTAATAAGTCCCGTCTCTAACTGTAGCACTGCGCACAGTGCCTCCCATGTAGCTGGCACTGAATGAATGCTGAATGAATGAGTGAATGTCCCATATGAAGTCATAAAAGAAATACCCTAAACTGTAAGTTCAACAGCTGATGAGAGAAACATTCTTGTCCCACTCCTTAGAAGGGTACATCTTCTCTTATGGGCCAAAGAACAGATCTGATGTGATCTCCTCCAGAAGAGGAATAGAGAGTAGCAGAACTGTCTTTCATGGATTTTTTCTAAATGATGAAAATTTCCTTATAAATTACCTCTAGTAAATTAATCTTTCCTCTTCTTCTTCTACATTTATAATTATGAAGGGAAGTATAACAACACTTCCCTGTAAAGAGATTTAGTAATTCTGGCAGTACTTCACTAATCACTTAATCAGGGTTCAAGCAGCACTGATGTCCTTGACACATATAATCCATCTTGATTCCTCCCACATTTGATTTGTACCCTTTTTGAAATCCAACAACTATACATACTAAGAATTAGTGGCCTATTTTCACATTATAGTTTTATTAGAGGTAACTTATATGTTAATATCACAATCAGAATGTTGATTTCTATAGTGAGCCTGGTCGTAATCTATTTGAAAACAATTACTTTCATTCTAGCGAATTTATGAGATTAATCGTGCTAGGATCAGACATTATTATTACTTAATGGAAAAATGGGATTAGGTAATCTATTAGCTTAATATATTTGGAAGTAGCTTGTTTATGTTTACAGGTAAGCCACATCTATTTGTTTATGATACATTCTGAGGAACACTTCCAGAGCTGCCTAAAGGCAACTGGCATGGAAATACAATGGCATCCCAAAGTTGAACGGCATGGACTAGGCTTGTCTCATATTTTCCACTTTGGAAAGGTATTTTTATGATCACTAGTGTGACTACAGAAGTTCTTATTTTGCCACTCTTTTTCTCTTAACATGTAATAATTGGGAAATTTAAAACATAACTTTTTAGCCCAAATCTTAGTGATGTGTACTTTCCACATCCACTTGGTCATTCCACCCATCCCTTTAACTCACTCACTTCTTGTCCACATCATATATTTTTCTCCTTCCTATAAAAAAGCTGCAGCAGAGACTTCATAGGTCAGAAATGTGAAGAACAACAGATGAAGACTCTTAATACACAATTGGATGTGCACTTGAACAAGTGAGAGAAAGACTTTGTTATCTTTGTTGCTTGGAGAGTATTTTTCCCCCAGATGATAGCAGGAAGTCCCAGGATTGTTTAAAACCAAAAAGTCTTTACCCACTATGTACTACAGAAATTAAAAATAAGCTTTTCTGCTAAGGTTAGAAGGGTCTTCGGAGGATGCTTAGATTAGGACTTTATAGTCTTCAATTAGATCCACGACTGAATCTATAGACTAAAAATCAAGAAGTCCAAGGGATAACAACAATAATAATACTAACTCATGTTTAGTGACATCTTGTTACTTCCCGTTGTACTGTGTGGGGAGCTTTACATGGGCTATTTAAAGAAATACCCTTAACATCCCTCTCTATGAGGTCAGTGTTATAAATATTCCTCATTCAAAGAAGAAAAATGAGGCTTTCAGAGATCACGTATCTTCCCAGTTACATAGCTGGTCTGTGGTGGGTTTGCTGAAGTCAGTGCTCTTTACCACTGGCCAGTTAGTCTGCCTATCCATCTTGGGTATATAAACCAAGGGCTATTCATAGGTTGCAGATTTGAATTTATTTGCATGTATATACTATGTAGAAGCTTAGCTACAGAACTATTATAGTAAATTAATTATCCTTTAACGAAAAATTAATGGAACTCAGGGCTAGCTGGAAGTGGTTAGTAGATTACAACAGAAATTAAAGGCAACATTCTACCCAGGCATGGAAAGGTAGAAAGGAGGACTGGAGAGAAGGTTAATTATCAGAGTCCATATCTCATTGGTAAGAGGTGAATTTGATTTTGAGTGACTATTACTAATAACCACAGAAACATGGCCTTCATTAGGAAAACAAATTTCCTGATCTAAATGAAATCTCTCTGAAACTATTCATTCTCTGTCTCCCCCACTGCCACACCCTTCTCTTTTGCTCTGATGTATGGTGATCAAAGCAATTTTCTGACAACTAATTTAACTCCTCAAACACATGGCTAGACAAAAGGTTATCAATTATTAAATGAGGTATGGTTTACATTGGCATAACAACAACTTTTCAAACTGTGTCTTAAATGATTTTGGTTAGTGTAAATCAGCTCTTCTGGTCCCGATTAATTTTGGAGAAACCGCAAGAGCTTTGCCAAAGTGAATCATTGTTCCTCAAACCCAGACACGAAGAGGCTCACTCTGCATTGTCCCAAATCTCTTGGCACTGCCTTGTCCCTGCTCTGCCTTTTCCATATGTCATGACCTGCTCTTGGGCCGGGGATTTAGCTCAGTGGTTCCGGCGCTTGCCTCGCAAGTTCAAGGTCCTGAGTTCAATCCCTGGTACCAAAAAACCACACATATGACATGACCTGCTCCAAACCCCAGTCATTTTAGGGGAATCTGGTAATGTCCCTTCAGAGTTTTGAAGAATAAATAGGAAGCAAAGTTTAACATGGAGGCTAGCCAAAGGGAGAACAAACATGCTCCTGAGCCTGACCAGACACTCTGAGCTCAGGTAAGCTCAGCAATCCTAGAGCTAAGCAGCAGCAGCTGGCACGTTCCATCAGTAGCTAGTACTTACTGAACTTTAGTGGTGTGTTCGATATACTTGGTGCTTAGGTCAAAGAATCAAGATATGATTTCCATCTTCAAAAAGCCTGTGAGAAAATAAGTTCATAATTATTACTCAATAATTATGGGTGACTTTCAGCCCAGCTGTTCACGATAAAGCCTGTTAGCAGGCAGGCAGCTATCATGTATTCCCTGGCTGGGTCTCACCAGCATTTCTATAGGAAACTCACCCAAATCCTTTCTTCCAGCTCTAGAAAGAGATCGCAGGGGTATATCACAAAAACCTCCTTTCTTCGCATGCCCATGTAATCTCTGGTTTCTACTGCTGTCCAGGAGCTCCAGTGCCTCTCATATCTAGGTGTGGTGTTAGCAAGTGTCCAGAACATCTACCTGCTCCTGCCTGATCCACCCAACAAGGCTACTCCTGAAAAAGTTTATTCCAAAGCAAAATGTTGCTACCTTTCTACCCTTAATGTATTTAGCACAGAAAGCAACTGTGGAGAAGCATTATCTTCTCACCAGCACTGAACCTCATAAGTAGGACACAAAGCAGCACTTCTCTTATAACCTCTTGGTTTTCCACAGGAACTTGATGGTAGAGATTTTTATGTCAGTGGCTTTTGATTCTGCTACCATATTCCTAACATGCAGGGATTTTTCTGAAGAAAACTAAAGTACCATCACAATCCCCTGACCCCCAACACCCCTCCCCTCTTCCCCTGAGTATTAGTGCTCTCTATCCAGTTGTGCTGAGCGCTTTCTTTCAATAGTGCCATTGAGTAACTGACAAGTAGCCCTGTCCCTACATGGCCAAGGGGGTCTTAGATTAGAGGTCTCCCATTAGCTCCAGTACATTCTTTTATGCCTTCCAAGAAATTTCTGTTTTATGTAAAGAAAGCCCTTCAGGTGAACACTATCTATCAGCAATAGCTCTTAGATATGCACCCTGGGATCCTCATGGTACTACCTAATTATATATGAAAATTGCATATCACATTTTTTATTTTTCTGTTACAGATAAAGGAATATTCATTATCCAAAGTGAGAGCCTTGAGAAATGCATTCAAGTGGGTAAATCTGTACTGACCCTGGAGAACTGCAAACAGCCAAACAAGAACATGCTATGGAAATGGGTTTCATATCGCCATCTTTTTAACCTGGGAGCTAATGGTTGCCTGGGTCTGAATTTATCTAATACAGAGCAGCCATTAGGCATATATGAATGTGATTCCACCGATGTTTCATTGAGATGGCATTGTAACAGGAAGATGATCGTGGGCCCACTCCAGTACATGGTCCAGGTGGAGCATGATAACACAGTGATGGCCTCATGGAAACATCTTCACAAGTGGGTTTCCTATACATCAGGTGGTGGAGACATTTGTGAACACCTTCACAAAGGTAAAAGTAATTTACATCAAAGCATTTGTGGAATGGTATTCAGTATTTAGAAAATATTCCATGATTTGTAAAGCATTATGTAGAAGAAGTCCACAGAGCCTGCAATGCCAAGAGACTTAGGGTAAATACATTTTAATGGCTTTCTTGCTTATAATAAAAGAATTACTGATGTCTTACAATAGACATGCTAAATTCTGCTACAGAGGCAGAACTTGTCAGAATTTGAAGGTATTGAAAGAAAAACCTAACTTAGGAAATCAGTGGAAAGAAGAAAAAATAAGCAGGAGAGGGAAAAGGGAAATATTTGAAGTGAAGGATTTTGTCATAAAATATATAATAATGTCCTTGCCACCATTCCTCTTATTGTAGCAACTCAACCATCTGTGTGGAAGTGGGGAGGACTCCTCACTTCTAGCTGGCATCCACATGATGGTCATACTGCAAGGCACTGGAAGATAAATGGCACACTACTGTCAAGGTTTATTTGGTGTATGCCAACCATGGTTTGTGGGAAGGGTGATTTATAAGGGGAACTTTTCTTTTCCATAATTACATTATTATCTTTGGCATTTTTAAACTGAAAAAAAAGAAATGAAAGTCACATGGTTAAATTCTGACACCCCAACCATGTCTCTCAGAGTTTGTTTTGTAGCTCATCCATTCATCATCTGGACACACATTTATTCAGCACTGACTCTTTGTCAGGCACAGTGCTAGGCACCTGGTTTACAAAGGCCAACAAGATAGATGTTGTGCCCCTCATGGTGCTCTGTAGAATTATGCTTTAATGTAAACATATCCTCCTAAAAGCTCTACACTAGTCCTCAGAGGAAAAGCAAGGAACTCCTAAGGCCCAAGACTGGACCTTTTCTGTAGCTACAAGGAATCAATGAAGAGCAAGATGCTTTTAAGATTCACTATAATAAATCCAGTGCTGTAAAGCAGCACTCTGAAAATCCTACAGTTCTAAGAAAGAATTTGATCCTTTGCTTCATGTTAACATTTTAGCCATATACACACACTAACAATGCACACAGGGGAAAACATGTTTGCTTCTGGTAGAAGGCAATGGATAGAAACAAAAGAACATATCCTGTCCTGAATGACCTCTAGTTCCTAAGCAGGCCTAACTGTCTGGCATATGTTGTCAGCTCAATCTAGCCCTTGCCAACTATAGAAAAGTAGGGAAATCTCCACTGGCTGACCCTTTTGTTCAGGAGCTATTGACTTAATTGAGGGTAGCCTTGATTCCTCTCACCATAGAAAGCCCTAATTAAGTCATGAAAAAGGTTTTGGTTCTTGCTTAAGGTCAAAGCTGATAGATTATAACAACATTCTGAGAAAGCAGCCAGCAGGCCACTTCTGTGTGGTCACCTCTCTCTAGGGCACTGTGGAAGCCTCTCATCATTTGGGCTGTTTGCTATATTGCACTTGATTGATTTGTTAACAATGGAAATCTGATCTTATCGCTTTCCCATTCAAATCCTGGCATTGGCTACCCACCACCTTCAGAGTAAAAGCCAAAGGCTATAACAACATGGCAGAGACAGTCCTGTGTGAACAGATGCTGCAGTATTTCCTCCTTTCCCCTTCCCCTAGAGTAGGGATGGTGAACCTTTTAAAGCTTTCAATGACACAATTGCTGCCTATTGCCGCACATGTGCTATAGATTTGCCACCACTGCCCTAGAGCTTCCTTGCTCTTCCTAATTCACCCCCTACACATTCTTTTCTCCAGTCTTTTATACTTGCTGTTTCTTCTGCTGGAACAACCCCTTTCCTAAATACCTTGCTTCACCTGGTTCTTATTCAGAGAGGCCTTCCACTGACCACCTCACCTCAAGTGGTGCCCTTCTACCCCTTCACACACACACACACACACACACACACACACACACACACATACACACACTGTTCTTCTTGTCCTACTTTATTTTTTTCATGGCACTTATTACTTCCTTAAATTATACAATTACTTGCATATTTGCTTTATCTTTGTCTCTCCTCACTAAACCACGATAAAAGAATCTTTGCTAGTTTGTTCACTGCTATCTTCCCAGTGTAGAGTATATTAAATACTCAATTAATACTTATTGAATGAATAAATTAATAAGTGCCAATGAAACCATTAGGCTTTAGATGTTGATGGTTGATGTCTTTGGGGACTAGAAGCTATTTTACAGAAAAAAATCTCCATTAAATTTTCCTTATCATCCATTCACAAATATGATGCTACTGTGGCAGCACATCACATTAAATAAGAAGGTAGATAAATACATAAGCAAACCATTTACCAGTATTTCTGAGCCCAGAACTTGGCCTAGTCCTACAGACACTAGATGATGTGGACCTGAAGGCTCAAGAGGTTTAGCAAATGCCTGTCCCTATGGGTTTTGCCTCCCCCCCAAAGATGCATTAATCAGACTACAATTTCCAAGCTGAAGCTGACATTGTAAATTTGACTTTGTAAATATTTTTCTCCTAGATGTGTATACAATCAAGGGGAATGACCATGGGACACCATGTGTGTTTCCCTTCCAGTACAAGCATCAGTGGCATCACGAATGTATCCGGGAAGGTCGGGGAGATAATTTGCTGTGGTGTGCAACTACAAGCCGATATGAAAGAGATGAGAAGTGGGGATTGTGCCCAGATCCCAGTAAGAATGAATCTAGTTTTCTCTATGTGTCATAAACGAATCAAGAATGATTAGAAAGTTAAAAAAAAAAAGCACCAGGATTAATGTATTGAAGTCTGAATAAGCACTCTGATTCCATTAATCCAGACTTGATTTGGGGTTTATTTTTGCCTTGAAAGGACAATTCTGATGTACATTTTTATTTTCTTTACCTTCAAAAGATGTTAATTAGTCATTCCTTATTAAGCTTAGTGCATAAGGATGCTTTAACTGGAATCACTTTATAATACTCTGTTCTCCTTAATCTCAGCTTCCCAGCGGGATGCTTCAAAACAAACTTCAATGCATATAAAACCCAGTTATCCTTTCAATCCACTACCTCTTATGAGTTGCTCTAATTTCTCTACATCAGGACTGCTTGTTCTGCCCATTGTCAAGTCCAGGCATCAGCTGGCCCCTTGATAATCTGTGCATAAAATCACAGTTTCCCTCATTATTTCTCTACAATGGATTTTCATCTTGAGTTGATTTTCTTACTACTTACTGTTTACCTATAACCTCAAAATCTTTTCCTCTTCTTAACTTGATTTTCAAGGTCCTTTGACAGATGCAATGTTTTAACTTTTCTTTCCGTGAAAGTGCTTTGTTATTTTTATTTTATCTTATTCATACTCAACTAAAAGGTTTCCAATTGTCTCTAACTATTGGAGAATACTTATACTTTCTATATTCCATTTCCTTCACCTTGTTTTCTGCATGTCATAGTATAAGTTTATAATATCTTCAAATTCCATGCCTTCCTTCCATGTATAAAATACAAAAAATGAATTTAAAATAAAACCAAATTGAAGAGAATAACCCCAAAGAGTCTGGTTTATAAATTATCTATAGAATTGTTTCCTAAACTAAGAGGCAGTATGGCTTAGTAAATAAGAAAGAATACAGGCTTTGAAATCTGAAAACCAAGACTGGAGGTAATGAGATTTGGGGGATTCTCCCTCTGAGTCTCTGAGTCTCTGCTTTCTTGGTCTTACAATGGAGATAATAATATCACTTACTAAGGTTATTGTGTGGATTCAGTTGGATGCCTCCAAGGCATTTATCAAAGTACTTGGTACACAGTAAGCATTCATAAGGATTGGCCACCACCACCACCATCACCATCAAACCTAACTTATCTTCTTAGCATACACTTCTGAATCAATGATCCCTTCTCTTTATTGCTGGTCAACAAGAACCAGGCTGGGCATAGTGCTAAATACCAGGAGTTTTAGAACTTTGATCCCTCCTTTCAAAGAACTTGGTATCTAGATGAAAGATAGGATAGACAGACCTACTGTGTGACAGAAAATGCAAAATATATTTGATAGGGTGCTCTAGAATACCTGGAAAATAGCTACAGATGCTCGCCCTTCCTCCAGAGATGCAATGGTTCCAGGATGTGGGGCCCAAGCATCTGCATTTTTGATAAATGCCTGAGATTACCCTAATGCAGGCAATTCTTCATCAAATGATTCATAGTAAGTGGGTAATTCCATGCAAAATATTTCTACATAAAGGGATGACATTAAGACATTTAACAACCAATATGATATGGGCTGTTAGCCAATTCGAGCAGAGATCTTATTGTGGGAGTTAGAAATTCCAGAGGCCCAGTGCTGGTGTTGTTAACTCCTTAGTAGCTAGAATGTGAGGGGGTGAAGAGAAGGCTGGACAGCACCTATTCACCAACTAGCATGAAGGCATTTCATTGTTTAAAGCTGTCAGATTTAGCTTTCTTTATCTGAATCTGAATATATATTTGTAGGTGGTGCACATGCATGTAATCCCTGTACTCCTTGAATTCCAGAACTAGATATCATAATATTTGGATCATCTTCTCTTTTCATTTCTATCCCCAATAGATGTCATAATTAAAACCCAATAAATGAAATGATACTGGTAAAATTAACACATATTTCACACGGTTCTTATACTAGGTACTTTCCTTAAAGGTATTCTCTTTAAGGTTTTGAAAATAGCCCCATCACGATCCTGTCACATATAGCCAATTACAGTTTTCCCAGTGAAAACTTGAGTTTCATGGGTCTCAGAGCTTTTCACCTCCTAGACTATTTGCTCAGCTTCCTATGGCTCAGAAGCCTCCTCTGCTTGACAACCTGCCAGATTCCAGCTCTCCCGGCCTTTACCACAACTGGCTGAGAGCATGTTTATTTGCACAATGCTAAATTACAGTTCTTGTTTTCTTCCTTTCTTGTTACTTTTGGTTCCTGGTGGCCAACACAATTCAAAATTGAAATTGGGAAAGCTGATAGATCTTTCCTTGAGATCCACAAGTGGATAGGACAGAGGAATGGAACAAAGAATCATATTTCTGTATCTCATCATTCTCATAAGGAATTTTTTTTTCTTGGTACGGGGGATTGAACTCAGGACCTTGCACTTTCGAGGCAGGCGGCGGATCCACTGAGCTAAATTCCCTGCCTCATCATAAGGAATTTTTAAAAATCTCAACATCAAATGATGCTGCCTTTAAAAAATTTATTTCAAGGGAATAAAACTTAAATTTAATACTGATATACATGAACACACTAACAATGAAGGATGTGATAAACATCTTCAGGAATAAGCATGCTATGTAGATATCTAGCCAGGATTATTTAGAGACAATTCTAGGCTATGCAAGATCTCTCTGAGCTGTGTGCCTTACACAGATAGACAGCCATAGTTAGACATTTTTAAAACACCAACCTCTAGAATGATCTGATTGCCCTTGAACCTTATTCAATGGATAGAATTTCAGTCAGTTACCTGAATGATGCAACAGATAAAATTGATATCAATTTAAAATATATAATGGTCACTTGAGCCCTCAGAATGGATCAGCAAAGCTGTTATATCTGTCTTCATCAAAAGGGAAAACTTGCACCTTGAAGGACTGGAAATGTGGTTCAGTGTTAGAGGACTTGTGTAGTATGCTGAAGGCCTTCGGTTTTATCCTCTCAGCATTGCAAAAAAGAAAAAACAAGGAAAGTTAAAAGACAACACACAAAATGGGAGAAAATATTTGCAAGTCATACACCTTACAAAGAATTTATATCTAGAATATAAAATTCTAAGTCAATGACAAAAAACAAATAATTCCATTTAAAAACAAAGTATCTGCATAGACACTTCTGGGAAGATTTACAAATAGTCAATAAACATGAAAAGATGCTCAACATCATTAGCCATCAGAGTGAAATAAAAAACCACAGTGAGATACTATTTCACACCTATTAGGGTGGCTGGAATTAAAAAGACAGATAATAAGAAGTTCTGGGGATGGTATGGAGAAATTGGAACTTCATTCACTACTGGTAGGATTGTAAAGTAGAAAATAGTTTGTCACTTCCTCAGAAGATTAAATATAGAACTACCATATGACCCTGCAATTCCACTACTAGGTATATAGTTAGCAAAAATTAAAATACATGCCCATACAAACGCTTGTACACAGATGTTCATAGTAGTATTATTCATAATAGCCAAAGAGTAGAAATAATGCAAGTGTCTGCCAACTGATAAATATAGGGAAGTATAGTCATACAATGGAATATTATGGGGCAGTAAAAGAAATGAAGTATTGGTAGATACTACTACTAAGTGAATAAAGCCAATCACAAAAGACCACATGTTGTATAATTCCATTTATATGAAGTGTCAGAATAGGCAAATCTGTAAAGACAGATTAATTCTGTAGGGTAATTCTTGTTGTGGGCTGGGGGGGTGGATTAAAGGGGCAATGGAAACTGCTGTTGTGTACTGGGTTTCCTTTTAGTATGATGAAATGTTTTAAATTTATTATTGTAATGGTTGCACAATACTTTGAATATACCCAAAAACATTGAATTATGTAACTTGAGTGGGTGAATTATATGGTGTATAAATTATATTTCAATAAAATGTCTTTTTTAATGAGGTAGAGAGTATTGTATAAAATTACGTGCTTAGGAATGATAGAGAAAAGGTAATAACTGGGACAAGGTGACTAAGGTGGGGCCTCTTGCTTCTTACTTTTTGAGGATGAAAGGTGCAGGACCATTTTTAATACATCTAGAAAGGATCTAACAGAAGGTTGGAGGTATAGGAAAGTGAAAGCAACTAGCGGAGTCTCTGTGGTCTTGCAGAAGACAGAGGTTTGGAGGGTCTAGATCATAGCTGTTCAGGCTGGCCTTTTTTTCCCACTTTTATTAGTACATGTTTACAGTACATAATGTTTACATTCACTGTAAGGGATAGGTATACATTTCAGTTTCCTTTTCACCCCCTTCCTCCATCCTCCTTTTACTTTTCCAGCATTGGATTCATTTATTTATCTTATAAGACCTTATAAAGTTAATGATCATATATTCAGATTGAAAACCAGACTAATAAGACAAAGAATGTATAAAATATGAAAGACAATTGTATTAAGTCAAGGTTCCCTTTGTCCGCCCTACATTACAATCCTTTTTTTCCGCTATTACCTGTCCTATATTTTATCATTCATATATTTTTTTTTCATATAATAGAAACCATGTGATATTTAAGCTTGTGGCTGAATTACTTCACTTGTGGTCTCAAGGTACATCCATTTTCTACAAATGACTCAAGTTTTTCCTTCTGTATGGCAGAATAGTACTCCATTATACATAAGTACCACATTTTTTAATGCATTCCTCTATTGATGGACATATAGGCTGTTTCCAAGATTTACCTATTATGAATTGTGCTACTATAAACATGAGTGTGCATACATCAGTGTGGTGTGATGTATTTAACTCTTTGGGGAAGATACCTAGAAGGGGACTAGCTGGGTCAAGTGGAATTTCTACTCTTAGTTTTTTTTAGGAGTCTCCATACTGATTTCCATAGTGGTTATATAGTTTACACTCCCACCAACAATGTGAAAGGGTTCCTTTCTTGCCACAGCCTCACCAGCATTTGTTATTGGTTGATTTCTCGATGGTAACCATTCTTTCTTGAGTTAGATAGAATCT